AACCCGCCACCTTAGGTGTATGTGGCTGGTGGCTGGTGCCTTAGCCGCTTGAGCCACAGGCGCTGAGCCCAACTTCCAACTCTTAACCTTAAGCGATTCTCTTGCTTCAGCCACCCAAGTAGCTGGGACTATAGGCGCCCGCCACAATGCTCAGTTATTTTTTGGTTGTAGTTGTGATTGTTTGACAGGCCTGGGCTGGGTATGAACCTGCCAGCTCTGGTGTATGTGGCTAGCGCCCTAGCCACTGAGCCACAGGTACTGAGCCTGATGTTTCTAAAGTTTTAATAATGAGGATACCATAGGAAAAATATTTTGGGACCGAGCATAATGGCTCATGCCTGTAATCCTAGCACTCTGGGAGGCCAAGGCATGTGGATCTCATTGAGTTCACAAGTTCAAGACCAGCCTGACCAATGAGCGGGACCCCATCTCTAAAAAAATAGCCAGACATTGTAGTGGGCTCCTCAAGATGCTGAGACCAGAAGATCGCTTGAGTCCAAGAGTTTGAGGTTGTTAGGAGTTATGAAGCCACAGCACTACAGAGGCCGACAAAGTGAAACTCTGTCTGAAAAAAAATTTTTTGACACAGAATCATACTTTATTGTCTGCGGTAGAATGCTGTAGTGTCATAGCTCACAGCAATCTCAGACGTCTGGGCTCAAGCAATTCTCTTGCCTCAGCCTCTTGAGTAGCTGGGACTATAGGCACCTGCCCTAATGCCCAGTCTTTTTTAGAGATGGGGTCTTGATCTTGCTCAGGCTGGTCTCAAACTCATGAGCTCAGGCAGTCAACCTACTTCAGCCTCCCAGAGTGCTAGTATTACAGGCGTGAGTCACTGTGCCCAGCCTAAAAAAATAAATCTTTTTTTTTGAGACGGAGCCTCAAGCTATCCCCCTGGGTAGAGTGCCATGGCATCACGCTCACAGCAACCTCCAACTCCTGAGTTCAAGTGATCTTCCTGCCTTAGCCTCCCAAGTACCTGGGACTACAGGCACACACAATCATCACAATCATGCCCAGTTAATTTTCTTTTTTTTTTTTAATTTTGAGACAGAGCCTCAAGCTATCCCCCTAGGTAGAGTGCCATAGCATCACTCTCACAGCAACCTTCAACTCCTGGGCTCAAGCGAGTCTCCTGCCTCAGCCTCCCAAGTAGCTGGGACTACAGGCACCCACCACAACGCCTGGCCA